TTTTTAGAGAATGGTGTACTAGTGACAGTTTATCATATCTATAATTTTTATGTCGTTATAACGTAATATGACGTCATTATGACGTCATTAATGCGATTTTTCGGCCAAAACCATCTAGATAGGTTTTTCCCTGAAAACTAAATGGTATTCAACGTAACTTTACCAAAACAGAATATAAGGGCGTACTAAGTCTTATGTTGCCCATAGCAACACTGGTGACGTCATAAAATGACGTCATGCATATTTAAGATATCCGCCATCTTGGATCATCAATCTTGAATTTTCAAAAATAGTTTTTTTTTTCTATGATAAAGCCTAAAATTAACAATAGTAACATACTAAAGACCTTCATTTAAACCTTTTTTGGAAAAAGAAATGGAAGTATTGATGAAATTTTAATGAAAATAACCTGTATATACCTGTTCTAATGATATGGTCCGCCATCTTGGATTTTGGCCAATGACGTCATCAAATTAGCATAAATTATGCATATTTAATGATGAAATTTACATAAAATTATATGGGATGTTATTAATATTAGAAACCATGAGTAACTTGACATAAAACCCATAAAATTCTATTGTTGAAACAAAAAGTACTAAATTTAGCAAAAAATGCCTGTCAGAAACCCGTTGCCATGGTAACACAAAATATTATTGTCTTATTCCAATGATAGAGAATTGTTGCCAACAATATTCTAGGAAAAGTCACCAAGTTTGGCCGTTCTACGGCGAGCCGTTCAGACGCTAGGTGACATCAAAGTTGCCGCGGGCACTTTCACGCCCCCCCCCCGGTCTAGGTAGGGTTAAACAAGCGACTTCATCAACAACTAGAGTTCCACGATCTCATACCTTCGCCAAATGATGTTAGCCTTTATGACTAAGAAATAATAGATTAATCCCCCTGATTGTGCAAATAGGATCCTATATTGCATCAATTATATCTGCTGATCACATTCTATACCAGAAGACAGTCTTATCTTATCAATGCATGCCATTATAGCATGTCCTCATAATTATGCAATGAGGTCCTTATTTGAATAAGTTATGTTTAATTATGTTCACCTTCACATAACTTTCAAATATCCCAAGTATGAAATTCCAGACATTACCAATATGTAATTATAACATTTTCTCACTAATTATGCAAATTAAGTCTTCATTTGCATAATCAATATCTTCCTGTATTTCTGACGTTCTGAATTACATATGTCACAAGCTTGAATAGTCCTATCATGGAATGCAGCTGATTTATAGAATTTCCTCATTAATTATGCAAATTACATTAATATTTGCATAATTGTAATGTTATTATGTCATGCATCACTTCAGCTACCTACATGCCAAAACTCAGGACGATCCATCAATCGGTTCTTGAATTATCCGCCTTTAAACAGTTTTCAACTAACACCCCTGCAGTTCCAGAGCAAGCAGCTAGGGGGCCCAAACTCACGTCACTTCTTCCCTATCACAAGAGCTACCTACCATCCAAATTTCGTCAGCCTAGCTTGTCTAGATCACAAGATATCAAAACCGGAAGTTCAGCTGCAGTACCATAACAAACCGCTAGGTGGCCCAAAATCTAATCAGTTCCACGTCTCATCAAGACCTACCCACCTACTAAATATCAAGACAATCCATCCAGGCGTTCTCGAGTTATCGTGCTCACACACACACACACACACACAGACACACGAACGCCTCTGAAAACATAACCTTCTTGGCGAAGGTAATAACCAAAACAGACATCATGATTATCATTACTCACATCAAAAGAGAATCACGTCGCCGAGGCCGGTTTTAAACGCCACTTTATCAAAAATGGGACAATTTCTTAACGGACCAAAGTAAAAAAAAATCATCGTTTTGCCTTACTACCTCTAATGTTATCGAGCTAGACATTTTAAAACAGGTAAGTCTCAGTGTTGTAACGTAACCTCCGTAACGGTTGTTTGTCACTTTCAATATTAGTAGTAAACTTTACCTGGTATTATTAGAAAGCTGGCCAGTTTAAATGCCCTTACTTCTAGCCACTTGCTCCCCAAAGATAAGGCATAAAACTGTAAATCTCTTTGGAGATAATAGCCAAAAGTGCGAAATTCTGCACATTTGAATGAGAATGGGCCTTATCTGGTCATTATCTCAATGTATTTAACCCTGTCCCACAGCATACTGATGTCTTTAAGGCAAAATGTGATGTCGCTGACAAAAAAAAAAATGGTTTGTATAGCTAACTGGTGGTACATGTACCTCAAAAAGAAATGCCTCACGTACTTTGATTTAATTTGGGGATATTTCAAACGCTTCAAGTATACCAAATGACGAAAGTGTGCTGCAAAAGGCAGTTACTGTTAATATCAGAAACAAATCCCCATCCAGAATACTTTTTGTAATTACGCTATGAAATTGTATTAGATGCCTTTAAAACTAGAAATCCCATACATGCCATGTCTAGATTTCGCGCGTTTTCTAACGCGAACTAAAACACAAAGGTCATTTCAAAACAGGTTGGACCACATTATGACCACCCCACTGGTTCAAAACAACCTTTGCCACTTTACCCTCCCCCATGCATGCCAAAGAAGCCATTATCATGAGCATTCAACTTGAATTAATTCACTAGTAGTCTGCATAACCATTGAACCACGAAGTGTAGGATATATTTTTTGTCAACACACACACTGGGTAAGCCCTGTCGTTTGTTATTGTGGTCGTCGAAGTAAGGATCCACTATAAGAGTCACAGTCAAGTTCATGTCTTATCCTAGAGACGTCCCTGAATGAAGCTGTGTACTGTTTTTTTAGAGAGGTGAAGGTTGGACCTGAGGCTGCCGAGTGTAACGTTTAACATAACTCATCGTGAGAAGGTATTTGATTGATTACTTAGCATGAACGTTCATCTGTGTTGGTATTCTTAATTATGACCAAAAGGGCTAAATTTTCTATCCAACACTGAGGGCATTGTGACTTACCCAAATTCTCGGCCAACTCCGTCTGCCTTGTTCACGGAATGGACGCTTCTACTGCAGCTTCCGGGACAAGACCAAGGCTGACGGAGTCCCAATTTACTTAGTGTTGGATAGAACGTTTAGCCCTTTCGATCATACATGTGAGTACTAGTACTTGTATCCCGTAGAAATTTGGGGCTTTTTGAGCCGTTGAATCTACGACTTCTGCTTTCTTCGTCATCCAGACATGGCCGGCAGTGACAACATCAACAGTAGTGGCATACTGAACAGTGCCACAGGGGTCATCATTGTGTTTTGTCTCATCTGTAAGTATTACATGGAAACTTCTTCCTTTTTTAAACCTCCGGGAGCAGAATGATTGTTTTTGGGTGGTTTATCTGTGGGTTTGTGTGTATGTTTGTTCCAGACACAGTACGTTGACAAGACAGTACGTTGCAGGGTGGTTAGACTTGATGACTGATGAAATGGTCTGGCCGAAGAAATGGGGCAAACTTCAATGAATGAATGAATGAATGAATGAATGAATGAATGAATCAATCAATCAATCAATCAAATGGTTTATTTGTGAAAACAAAACAAGACTTTGTAGCCATAGGCTAAATTGTGTCTTGCTGTACAATTTGATTTGGCATATATTGACACATTAAAATTATTCAATAATAAAATCCATGTCATTATCTATGTCATAACTTGAAGGTCAAGGCGTTCTCAACAACATTAGCAGTTTTTGTTGATCTCCTGATCGCCGAATCTTCAAAATTCTAAGAGAGTGGAGCGAGTTTTCCCCCCAACAAATTACCCTGTCACATTTTATATATTAACTCGGTAACCTGTGAATTAACAGCGGATCCCTAAAGATCACGCAATGATCAAGAGAACACTAAAGTCGTATCGCCAAAAGAAAGGAAGTAAAAACAATTAACTTCGATCTATATCACTTGGTATCCAAAACTTGTCTTAAAACTCAGGATTAATAAATGGGAGCACGAACTGGACAAAATATCAAAAATCCAGATTCATGTGACGTCTCCAAGACTAGAGTGGTCATTTCTGATTATTCGCCTAAAAGAACATGATCCTTATTACTGTAATTCCTGATTTGTTCACTGTACTGATAAGTTCACTGTTTTCACTGTCTCTTGTGTACAGTGAACTTATCATTACAGTTAACAAATAATTCCTGGACTTTCTTTTTCCTGCACTTATCACCACCGTGAACATATAGTTACGTGAACATGTCCATTTTTCTCAGACCGTGAAATTTTGCTACCGTGAACATAAAGTGAATTACAGTATCAAACGCGTACCACTCCAGGCATTAAAATAGATAGGCAAGACACTGGATACATCTTCGGATCTAAAATGACCACATGAGTTCGTCTTCGGACGAGCTACCTTCCTGTGATGCCGCTCGGATAATGAATCTTAATGAGTACTGGCCAAAAATTGTTAAAGTTTCAAATATGACTAGATCGATATTTTTTTTCACCAGCTACATCAGCAGCAAGATGGACCAGTGATCCCACAATACTGAAGACCAGTCTTACCTTAAGCTGGGACGACACCGGCGTGGACAACTCGTTTGTAAAGTTCGTGGTTCAGCTGTACAGGAGCAAGGACAGGAACTGGTAGGTAAACATTATACTAGTATCATTGTGCGTCAACGTGTGTGTGTGTGCTTGTGCTTGTGTGTGTACAGTCATGTGTTTCTGTGACTGACTGTGTGTGTGACTGTGTGCGTACATCTTGTGCATCAGAAAACACCAAATGCACCAAAAAGCACCCATGGGAAACGGAAGAAAATTGCATTTGTTGATGATTATTACATAAATCATATCAAATATAATATTTTCTTCCGTTTCCAATGGGTGCTTTTTGGTGCATTTGGGTTTTTCTGATGCACAAGATGTATAATATCACCAATCAACAGAGTTTGTAGAAAAGCACTTTAGTTTGGTGAAGTTTGAGCACCATTTTTGAAGCAAATGTTTGCATAAATGTTTATGACACAATGTAAGAAGTTGTACATAAGTGATAAAAGTCAGATAGCCTCATAAACTACTTGAGTCCTTTGATAATTCAAAGAACCAAAAATTACTGGTCAAATTGTTGCCATTGCTGCACTTTTAAAGGAAACATGACAAGACTATATGTCTGGTGCTGACAGTCAGCCAGCTGGGACACCTGTTGTGGAATGTGTATTGCAAAGGATGATGAGATAGTATCATCTCCCCCCTCCGATATGTATGTATGTGTGTGTGTGTGTGTTTGTGCGCGCGTGTGTGTGTGTGTTTTTGTCTATATGTATGTATGTGTGTGTTTATGTGTGTATGTGTGTGTTTGTGTGTGTCTGTGAGTGTGTGTTTGTCTAATATAGTATATGTATGTGTGTGTATGTGTGTGTGTGTGATAGTGTGTATGTGTGTGTGTGTGTGTTTGTGTGTGTGTGTGTGTGTGTTGTGTGTGTGTGTGTGTGTGTGTGTGTGTGTGTGTTTGTGTGTGTGTGTGCAATTAGATGACTTACCTATACTTCTATTAAAACATTACTTACGGGTACCGAGGTATTGATTTTGTGGCTGTCACGTTGGTTTGTGTTGTACTGAGTGTATACCGAAAGGTGAAGTTAGTAGGTAATGATTGAGATGAGGTTTAAAGTTCTTAGAATCAGGAACCATCAAGAAAAGATATGGATATTGGGGAATTCAGGAAGCGAAGGACGTCATACTTTCCTCAAGTTTAAAAATATCTGCCCTCTTGTTACCACATATAGCAGTGACGTCTACAGACCAGCGATGGTACAAGAACTGCCGGTATACGTGTGGAGACAGGCCACCTTCACTGGTCTGCAACCTGGAACCCTATACTGCAGGTAGCTTCAAACTATGTCATTTTGGCAACGCCTACAGAGCAAGCCTAATATATATATATGCATGATATTGGAGATTTTTTGTTCATTCAATGCAGACCTGGATAAAAGGAACATGAAGACTTAAAAAAAAAAACACCCAATGCAAATTTAGGAATAGAAAACAAAAGAATATTCTGCATGGGGTCTGATATTGGATTTACTGCCATTTCCTAGAACGTTTTCGTCATCATTTTATATTTGAAGTGTTTGAAGTAGCCCCAAACAAGCTATATATATGAGGAGTCCCTTTTTTGTACCACCACACATAACGAGAACCAGTTTACGATACAAATCAAGCAGCCGTTTTTAGTCGGGGACATCGAATTTTTGTCGAACAGATATTAGTGTACTACGGAATAGGATTGATTCAACGAACTTACATTAAACATTAAAAGATTGGCCAAAATTAACTTTAAAGATCAAGCCTTGCCGTCAAAACTGCACTAAATGACATCCTAACAGCAACAAACACAACAGCATTAGATCATCATGAAAGTTCATCTGTGTTGGTAGTAATCATAGTAAATCGTAAAATATAAACTTTATTCCAACACACAGTTTACCGAGATCAAATTTTCAGCGACCACTGTCGCCTTCATCAGGATAATTAAGGTAGCAGAACACAGTTTTTCGCCTATGGGGATTTCTATAGTTAAGGACCCGGAAGTGACTGACATCGACTCGGATAAAAATGCAGTAGGGTACCATAGAAAAGCACGAGAAACGAATATGTTCAAATATAGGGTACGATGTACAAAATAACAAAAAAGTACAAAAAGTTATCGTTTTTTTTTACATCATGCCGACCTCTTTTAAATGGCCTCCTGCGGAGCGCACCGGAACTGCAGCCGACTCACCCTGGCAGGCAGCGAAAAGGTCACGCGCATTTATACGCCGATCGAGCAGCCTTCCTAATCTCAATCATGCGATATCAAAGCCGACATATTATGGTACCATACGGTAACTTGTATGTCCTGGTGTCATCCACGTTAGGCTGTGTACAAGCGGTGCAAGCTGTTTGTCGCACTCATTTCTTATCCCTACGTCATCGTCTCCGCGACCCCCGGAGGAATATTGTGTTCTGCTACCTTAATGACCAATCACTTCACAACGTGATCTCGCGAGAGTTACGGTTTACAAACACGTGACCTTATTCACGCGAGACTTTATTGATACGTGACGTAACAATTGATCAAAAGTGCCAGGGAGTTTATATCGTCCACCATCTCTATTATAAGGTCACGTGTTTGTAAACCGTAACTCTTGCGAAATCACGTTGTGAAGTGATTGGTCTTTAATTATCCTGATGAAGGCGACAGTGGTCGCTGAAAATTTGATCCCTGTAAACTGTGTGTTGGAATAAAGTTCAACGTTTTACTAGCATTAGATGATGCATGCAGTATCAGGTTTATCTGGCATTTACCCATGTTCTCTAAAATTATCACTTATAGGTTCGGCAGAACATAACAAAAAAAAAAGAGTTGCAGTACATAACCTTAACTTTGTAACCACCATATACATTCAATTATCTCCATGGTAATAATTTTTATTGCCTGACTTGTGGGATAATTTCATATATTATCGATGTTATTTGTGTAAATTACAAATGTCGAACTCAGAAAACAGTATATTTTTTTTATTTCACTTACTTGAAGCTTCACTTTTAAAACTAAAGCGTAATTGTACATAGTAAGAAAATTTACTGTGTTTCAGAAACTGCACAATTGTGACAACACATGGGAACAGAAGTTGCGGAAATTATAATGACCCTATAAGCACCAAGTCGAGTAATTGTAAGTTTCTAATAATTTATCAAAGCAACCAAAATTTAGGTTGTGTTGCTTCTTGCAAATATACTCCTTATAGAGAGATACCATAAGATCTTTATCATGTATAGGTTGTGGTAGTATATATTAGTTTCATTGTCGTTTAATGTTACGTTACGGGTAGGAAGTATTGTTTTGGGTGGGTGGATTGTATCTTTGTGGGTGGATCTCTGTCCACAAAGAGTGGTTTGATAGTATGTGGGTAGGGAAGATTGACAGGCATAATGACCCGAGGTTGAAAGGCCAGACATAGCAAATAGATTTGAGTCTTACAGTAGGTTGCTAGCACGTAGGTTGGGGTACGACAGATTGACAAACAAAATGACAGATCAAAAGGTCAGACACAGGAAATTTAAATAGTAAACTTCAATGTAGGTTGACAAAACATGGGGATCAGGCAAAGGTAATGGGATAAACTTAAAGGTAAGCAACACCCCCAAATACTTCTTGGATGTCTGAAAAAACTCGAAATTCTTGTCTGTTTTCTGTTTTAATTTTCCACAGCTACAGATCGGACCGGAAGGTCCTTCAACTCTGTGTCAGTCACCAACACCAGCATCACAGTCACGTGGCCGTCCTTCACAGAACAGAGAGAAAGTGGCCATCTGAATATTACCATATTCTTCTATTACATGGTGAGATATTAACAACCCTTGTCCTGCGGAGCCCAACAATTGTTGTTTTGCATGTAGGTACGATTTGGCGGCGTTTCTTGTGCAACGTATCACACCGCAGTGAAACGCAACAAATACGAAAGTAACTATGCCACCACAGGGCCCAAAAAAGTCGGGGGTCTATGACCTGATTAAGACATGAATTTATTGAAAAATATTGAGTAAAAAATGCCAGCAGGACAAGGATTAACCACTTTGGGCAAACGCATTCCATTTTTTTTGTCGACTTAAGTAACACATTGTTAACCTTTACGCAGACTTTGAAATAAGCTTTACATGCCATCTTTCTTGCAATTTTGTTCTTTGTTTCAGCTGGACATCATGCCAGGTGAGATTGAAACAAAACGTCCACAGATGTTTTACAACGAGACAGAATTAGAGGCAACTTTTACTGCCCTTACTCCGGGAAAGGAATATGAGGTTGGTGCAATCAATTCACCAATTTCAAACTTCCCATAATGCCTAGTAAAATCACGGATATGACGTATGACCAACCCCCTCCCCCCTTCCTCGATGTAATATTTCTAACAAGTTCTATCTACAAACTGGTCAACTATATTATATATTGTTTTGAATTATTTATCTAGTATAAAGCGCATGCCATAATTGCATTTTTGTTGGAATTAGAGAAAATGACGTACCTTCCATCGTTCTACCTTCTACCGAAGACTCTGCTACTCGCACGGTCGTATTACGTATATCCCCTTCTACGTCATATCCCATCCATATCCGTAATCTTTACTAGGCATTATGGGAAGTGTGAAATTGGTAAATGAGCCATTAGTCCCCTCTCCAGATCAAAATCACGTTAAATCTCGCGTTACCGAGATCTCGTGAGCCCTGGCGCGAACCACTTGAAAAGGTTGCTACGGCACACCTTAAAAAGGTTTACAACTGCGACTGCCTAGGGGACCGTCCATTCTTCAACAAGGCAGGGTGTGACACATATTCTTCCGTGCAGACGAGGTAGCTTTCTTTCCGCGCAGACAAGGAAGTTTTTCTGTGCAGACGAGGAACGTATTCGCGCAGACGAGGAAGCTTTTTCTGTGCAGTCGCTGAAGGTATTCGCGCAGACGTGGAAGGTATTCGCGCAGACACGCAGACCTGTACTTACAGGCCTCCGTGATATACAGATTATTTGTCTCGTTTCAGATTGAGTTGACAACAGCTGGAAACTCGCCTTCGCTGGTCCACAGGGTCAAGCCTTATTATTGGAGGATGTTAACAGTCGCCATAGTTTCTACTGGTGAGTAGTGTATAAACGTTTGCGCTAGGTGACAATGACTTGTAATAAATTGTGGTTGAGGCTGTAGAATACAGCGTTACTGTCTTAACCGGGACGAGGGCTGATATAGACTTTAAGCTATCTGTGGTCTCTGCTGACCTCACCAAAGTGCATAAAGTGACTGTGTGACTGGGCCAGATAGCTGAAGAAGACCTAAGTGAGTCAGTCGAAAATTCTAACCTTTTGAATTTCAGAATGCTTTTTAATGGACTGACTTATCTTTCGACTGGCATGACCCGGACTATGATTATGCCTTATGATTTTGACTATTTGTTTTGGTTGACATGTCTTGTTTCCAATGATTGACTACTTGTACAATTTGTTCATATTATTTATTATCTCTATATTTAAGTAATTGATTGTCTACATGCATGTCCTTTGTAACTTGATCTGTCTTATGTTGGGCTACCTTGGAAATCAGTTGTCTTAAACTGAAGGTACCACGCAACCGTTTTTGAGATCAATCAATCAATCAATAAATCAAAAAATTATTGTTTTCCTAGTTTGATATACATGTGATATTTGCGAAAACTCCTGTAATGGCCGTGAAAAATGCCTTCCCTTTACAGCTCCTTCTCCCGTGGAAGAAGTGTCCGTCATAACCACGGATTCAACATCCGTCACTTTCAACCTGACACCACCGAAGGAAGGGTTTGTAGACCTGTTTCAGATACAGGCAACGTCCCCGCATCACACAAGGTACAAGATACTTGATACTTTATTAGGATATCCATTAGTCGCACAATTTTTGTGCAACTAATCTTCCTGGATTCCAACAACACAAGACAAAACAATACACAGACTTCACAATCATATAAAAACCACATTGGGCATCTACGCCACTAGACTTCTACACAATTTTCCTCCTACACATGCTTTACAGTCATTGAAATGACATTAGACTTTTAAACAGTTTCAATAAAAGAATTACAACTTATTACAACTTAAGACACCTGTAAATAACTAGATTTTAATTAAGCAATTAGGTTATTTTATAATAACTACGGGTATTTAGTAGATATCAATTTGTGCAAACGTAAATTTGTAGCTTTGACCATTATGCAAGTGAAAATTATACTTTTATTGCAGATATTTGTACCAAAGTGCTATATTATTAACTTTAAAGATAATTACATTTGGGGCAATAAAATATGATGACATCATCCAAAAAATCATCTTCATAACTCTTTGTTAGTAAACTATGGAAAGTTAAAATGCCAAATTAGCCAGTCAGGAAAACTTAAAGATAGCGCATTTACATAATTTCGTTCTTCCAAATCAATAATTGACCATTTTGACGAACCTAACACAGTGAGCCATTGAGTTTTTGGTTATGGTAATAGCCTGTGTTAGTGCACGGTCACATTTCCGAGCCGGGGCCCGGCCGGGTTGTTTGCGTGAACGAAAGATAAACATTTTGTGTTAAGTATACACAAATAGTGCTCATGGTTAATTTTCTAAAAACTTTTTTTTTGTGTTTTGCTGCCATATATAATTTTCGTTCCATACGACTGCCCGGCCGGGCCCTGGGTTAAGAAATGTCGCGTTTTCGCGTTGGGCCTTCTTCCCGAGAGTTTTTTCTGGCCATTAACCTCTACCTGCCTGTTACTCTAGAAAAACATTCTTATTTCAATACTAATTGGAGCTCAGGATTCCTGACATGAATCAAGGAGAGAATCGCTGTGATTTTAGTGCTTAACGTATGTTGTTAGTGACAGGACAATTTAGAACCCATGACAGGAGCTTCCTCAAAACGGTAACCATTATAGAATCTTTTTTGTGCTTTTTGAACGTCTTAAATCTCTGATTTTTTTGTTTTTTAATAGTTTTTTCTAATAGTGTATGAGCTCGACATCTGTTATAAGGCTTAGCGTTAAAATCCTGTGTTCCAGCCCTCTTGTAGACGTACCGTTTCCAGACCAGACCCTGACAAGTGTTCGAACTACTCTGTCCAACCTGCAGCCAGACACCACGTACAACCTTTCCGCCACGGCAGTGGCCAAGGGCAGGACGGGCCAGGCTAAGGTTGTAACCTTTACAACAGGTACGATATTTAAAAAAGCAAAATAAGTGTCAGGACGACCTTGTTCAACCTTCAAATCTACCACACGAGTTACCATTTGTCGCCTTTCTTCTGGTGGCTGCAAAGACAGTATCAAATTGGCCAGGGTCCCGTGGGGCTGTGGGGCGTATACGTAGCGGCAGAGTGCTCTACTCGGAACCAAGAAGTCCAGGGTTCGAGTCCTGACATGCCACTGATCTTGTGCCCTTGGGAGAAGCACTTTACACGACTTTCCTTACTTCCCTTACATGTAGATCAAAATGGGTATTGCATTGTCTCCTGTGTTGGTGGCGGCATTAATACAAGTTGAAAAAAACTTACGTGTGCCGTCACCGCGTCTTGTGATTACATGTTCGAATATATATAAAAAATGGCCAGGCAGTAACCATTTGTCAGACAGTATCGGGTGGCGGTATTGGGTACTGCCCGGCAAATTTGAAACTGTACATGTCTTTGCAGCCACCAGAAGATCTGCTTGGAGTTTACACTTGACCATTTGAATATTAGTTACTGGACACTGCCGGGCAAATTTGATACCGTCTTGCTAGTTTGATGCTATTGCATCCACCAAAAGATCTGCTTGGAGATTACTATAGACTTCTGTGTAAGCCTAATTTAAATCATCTAACACATCTGTGTGTGGTTTCTTTGAGGATGGCAATCAGTGGTGTGTCATCATAAATGTTTTTCAGACATATTAATATTTTCCAATGTACAAAACTTTTATTCAGTACCATGTCCTAAACTAAAGTTTGTTTTTCTATGTACAAATCTTTTATTCAGTACCATGTCCTAAACTAAAGTTTGTTTTTCTATGTACAGATATTTTATTCAGTACCATGTCCTAAACTAAAGTTTGTTTTTCTATGTACAAATCTTTTATTCAGTACCATGTCCTAAACTAAAGTTTGTTTTTCTTTCAGAGGCTGTCCCCGTTGATCCAACACTCGTTGGTTCCGTCACGACCGCCCTCGTAGTCACCCTGATCGCGGCAGCCTTCTGTACCGTGTGGATAGTCAGGCGGCGCAAGTACAAGTTAGACCCGGCACAGCTATTCAAGGAGGTTCTTGAGGTACTGAACCTTGCGATTGTTACCTCCATGAAAAATGGAGGTATTGTTTTTGGCGTGTCTGTCTGTCTGCCTGTGTGTGTGTCTGTGTGTGTGTCTGTGTGTGTTTCCGCAACTTTGTGGTCAACATAACTTCAGAACGCCTTTATGGATTGTGATGATATTTTGTATGTTGGTAAGTCTTGAAAAGCCAAAGGTCAAGGTCAAATATTGGCCTCCTGGCGGATGACCTTGTTACTGCAGCAGAATTTCTGTTTTTTTTAATCTTTCGTCCTGAACAGGCTATGGTCTTGATTTTTTGGCGACAGATAGTTTATTATGTCACGAATTAGTGATGTAAGTTTGGTCCCCCTAGCAGCTTGTTCTCGAACTGCAGGTTAGTTTCTGTTTTTTTTTTTTAAATTTCCAGATACGAAAGCTTTGTTCTGGGTGGCTGATCTGGGAGTGTGCGTACATGCATCTGTTTTTGTAGGGTAGGTTGACAGCACTTGGGTTGGGGACATACAGAATGACAGGATGACAAGGGTAAGACACAGGAAACGGGGCCAGGCGCCAACAGAAATTAGTGGTCGACATAGGAGAATTCAGAAAGCCGAAATGTATGAACCCTAATTTTTGTTTACAGCGTATTGGCAGAGTTACTCTAAGACTAATAATTAGTTATAATATTACAAGAAACCCGAGGTTTAGCATTAATAGTACCCGATATGGATTTGATTCTTGTTTAAATTTCTCGAATCAAGTACAACAGATTTCAAGAGTCTCGATGTTGGAGACAGATTTGAATATATCTTTACATGTGAAGGTCTCCACAACGCAAAAATACTTAGGTAGATATATAAAGGAATGATTTGCTATTAGAAAAAATACCGAAACTTGTGATTAGCCCATTCAATTTTAACACTTTGTTAAAGACTTGTGCTATCCCTTATTGTTTGAGTAATTAAGATATGTTAAGTTTTTATTCGACACACTTATTTTATTGTTGTTACTTTCTTTATGTAGTTTGCCATACATTGTACCATGTGCAATTCTCGTGCAATAAAGTTCTTCTATAGAAGGCAAAGGAAAACTTGTAAGACCCAAGTCCCGTACCTTCGTAATCAAGTAGTGGGCCTTCAAAACATCAACCATCTTATCTTTGTGCACATGTTGAAGACGCTATTTCTAAATTCCTGTTCCTGACTGTAAACTGGAGAATCGTTATTGTCTGTTGTTCACAAGGATATCGTCGGTTCTGAGAAGATGGAGCCATGGCTGAAGAACAGAAAGGACCTGTTTCTTGAGGAGCTGATCGGAGAGGGAGAATTCGGTCACGTGAGGAAGGGCGTACTGAAGGAAGATGGACAACAGGCCGTCATTGTGGCTGCCAAGACGCTCAGGCAAGTTTCACCTTCACCACGTCCTATCCTCACGAACATGCACGAACTTTAAGTGCATGTAAAACTTTTCTACGTGCGGTCTGTGGATTCACCACCCGTGCGTGCGAGTACGGGCGACGCGCGTGCCTCGTACGTGCCGTGCGGAAGAAGCACGTGTGAGTACGGCGTCCTTACGGTAAAGTTGCGATCGCACAGAGATCGTACGTTGTAAGCACGTACAACTGACTTACCACTTGCGCAACGTACGATGCACGCAACCGCTCACGGCCAGACGTGGCGTGCAGACCACACTCTTACACTTTGCGCAACCGTGCTAGTGACGTGCGAGTGACGTGCGTCGACGCCGCTCCTTCCCCACGTTTTCAGAAAAAACGTAGCAGACGTAGCCTCCCAAAAAACGTACGGACAAAAAGCATGTACGGTGGGTTGTGACCGAGGCTTTAGTGAACTACTCTTCATGGAGTCCGTAGTGAATAATCAGACAAGTATTTGGACCATCGCACATCGAGGCATGCCCCTACTCTTTTTTCGAAAGGTGTGGTCGGTTCTTTAACGTACGTGGGGTGTGGTTCTCCCCAAACACGGGGCCTCCATTTAACGTCCTATCCAAGGGACATTCCTAACCAAGCTAGGTACTCATTTACACATGAGTGAAGTGAGGAGAGTCCCGTAAGGTGCCTATCCCAAGGGCACAAGTGTTTGCATAATTAATGAGGTCAAAACCTCATATCTTTCATGGAGGTATGAGATTTCCGAATTCTTGTTTTATTAATAAATTTATTTTAAAACTCTATCGCCACTGTTACTACAGAGTGGACCGAGCTAACGAGATGACCTACCGGGACTTCGCAAAAGAAGCGAGCCTGCTGATGGAGGTCAACAATGACGGGGGTCACGTGAACATCGTCAGTCTGGTTGGACTGGTAGTGGATGGAGTAAAGAAGAAAGGTACATAATTCAGACGTTTTTTTTTTACAACTTTATTGAGGTATATATCAGCTGTTGCACAATCATAACATGTATTATACACAATACAATCATATAAACTGGTCACAACTAGTACACGGTATGTTTAACTTAAGTCTTAAACTGCATGTTTCAAAACGCAACCGGGAAATGTATGAATAAAATCCGTTGTAAGAATGTCAACGTAACGGCATTACGTATACATGGGGTTGTGTGGCGTGACCGATCTTGTGCCCTTGGAAAAGTCAGATTTGCTCAATTAATTACTCAGGTGAAAATGAGTATGTCCATTGTTTAGTGTCCGCTCATGCTTTTGTCCTCTGCAATGGTGGTAGCATGAAAATAAGTGAAAAAAAATCATTGTACCATCCGTATGTCTTGCTATAGCTATAATTGTTAGGAAATTAGTGATCGATATAGGGGACTTCAGAAAGCATTCAAGACATCATTTTAGCTTTGTCCTAAACCACCAAGATGTCCTTTCTAAATTCTTGTTCCTGATTGCAAGAAGAATCGTTATTGAAAGTTTACGTAACTCTACATTTGTTGGTAATGAAGATGAAGAATGTGTTGTTACCATGTTGCAAAAGATGTAAATCCTCTCCTGTCAGATCCGCGATACATTCTTGTCGAGTACGCCGAGCCAGGAGAGTTACTCTGGTACCTGGTGAACGTCCAGAACAACCGGCACCAGGCTGGCTCTCCGCCGGGCTTAGGACGACAGCTCACCGAGGTGGCCATCGACATTGTCCGAGGGATGGTCGAGCTACAACGCCGTCGGGTATCACTAGTTTTTATCAACCACATTTCTATTCAAATATTATATTCTTGAATATTGTTTGATTGGGGCAAATGCCAATGGCCAAGTGGGTAGAGTGTTCGCATTGCACTCAATTCCCGGCCGATTCATACTTACATGATTATTCATACATTTTCAAAAATAGTACATCCTGCTTTTTTCGCACTCAGCATGTTGAAAAGCGTATATGAGCTGAGCACACGCCACTACAAGTCAGGGCTTTAGCCAGCGCCCGTTTTACCGTCAATTGACGGTAATTTGTCCCGTGTGACGGTAAAAATTTTAGTCCTTACCGTCAACATTGACGGTCAAAAATCGTGGGTAAAGACATAGAAAAAAATCTAGCGAATTTGAATGAGCCACGGCGCGGCGTCTTTTCCAAACGCACGGCGGCGGGAAACCTGATTTCAAGGACCGTGCCGACGTATGTTGACTCGGTTCTATTGTTCAAAGTTGCTGTCTGTTAAAACAACATGTGCTAACGGCCACATAAGAATAAAATAAAACAATGGCTCGACTCAGACACACGCTGCTAACTGTACATGACAATACGATAAATAAACATGTGACAACGAACAAAGAAATATCAAACGTTTTGAAAATGTACTGTACTTGAATAATCATACTATCGCAAGAAAACGGAGATTGATCCACACAAATTTATTCAATCTAAAACTTTGTCAGACCTCCTTCGCGCGAAGACTTGAGCGGATCGCTGACACGCGAGTTTTTGCCGGCCACGTAACTCCCTCCGCGGCAAAATCCCCTATGCCGTAGCGAAATCGCGTCTCAGCGCTTCCCCAAGTCAACTCCATGGCCGCTAAAGTCCGCAAAGGAGCCGTAACTTCCTCATTTCGGTTGAGAAGCGAAGCTGACACAAGTAAAATCATGTACATGTCGGCCATTTTGTTTGCTACCCGAAGTCTTCCGAACGCTCTAAATAAGGAAATCGTCGGAGATCTGAGCCACATCGCTCGCTGTCGGTCAGCGCTCGGGGTCGGCTCGGTGGAAATCGGAGGCTGTAACGTTATGAGTAGGTTCATTTGCGCATGACGCCGCCGCGGCTTGAATCGCGGCGGGATTTGAGCGGATCAAAACAAAGGGAATAGCGGATTGTTCGTTGCGTGTTGTCTCCTTGTGAGAACTGTAGATTTTTTTTTTCATTCTGCAAAATTGCAGATTGTGTAGTTTTTTTTAATTCTGCAATCTTGGCGGGTATTTAGAACACCGAATGCATTAAGTGTACGGGAGGGCGTGATGTCGATCACCGGATCGTGAAAGACATTCTTTCAAAGTAATCATTGACGGAATTTTTTTTTCGCGCTGACGGTATTTTTTTTCGCGAATTGGGTTGACCTGGGGTTGACGGTAAAAAAATTCGAGCTGGCTAAAGCCCTGCTACAAGTACTAGTGGAATAATAGAACCAACTCATATATACTCTTTCAAAAATAAGCAGAGAAGACAGACCACGATTTTTAGAGATATTAAATGTATAAATAGGCACTTAGCATTTGGGAATGACTACTGGAGTTAAATCATTTACCAGTACTAGTTGACTAGACCCCTACTGTAGTGATTGCAGAACTGTGTTGCCCAAGGGCTACATGTACATAACAGAGGTGGGCGCCGAAATACGCACCATAGGTGCGGGGAAGAACTTAAACATTCAACTGGCTTGCTTGGAGATCAGGGATATCAAAACTTTAAGCACATTTTTGATTGCCCATAGCAGGAGTGTCAAAGAATTCACACGAAATTTACGGAATACATACGATCCATTATTATTATCCAACATACGATCCTTACTGATTTGGTGACTTGCGCTATACGATCCCGTTCTACCGATTCTGGCCTCGCCCTGCTATTTGGTCTAGAATACAGGCTAATATGTGGCAAAGAAGCCAGCATAAGTGCAAAACTAGTGTTTAGTAGGGCGGGATAAGCTCGTTAAAACCGAGATATAGTGAGATTTAGTCCACCATCTTGAATTTGCCGCTGACTGTCACGTGATCGCTGGGCGTAAGCCACCGAATTAGTAAGGATCGTATGTTTCCGCATAATGGATCGTATGAATTTCGTAAAATTCGTATGAATTCTCTGGCACCCCTGCATAACAGATCACCCACCGTGACCTGGCGTGTAGGAACATCGTCCTGTGTTCTCCTGACGGACAGGCCGGCCGGCTGGTCGCTAAAATCTCCGACTTCGGACTGGCCCGTGACGTGTACGTGACGACACAGTACATGAGACATCCTCTGGTAGGTGTCCCTTATCGTTCACCTCTTCTAAAGGTCCTCATTTTTCATGGATTTTCGTAAAATGTTGATAGGATTTTCAAGCAGTCAGTGGCAGAATCACACGGTGGTCGGTTCCTAGGGTAAAGTTTTCATTCTAATGCTCAGGTCATATTCTCTCTTTCAAACCGGGACACGGCCGGGTAGTATTATGGAACGAAAAGTACGATATGAAAGACAACAAAGCCCAAAAAATGGAAGAAAATTGGTAATGGGAACTATTTGCGTATATTATTGATGTATGTTATTGATTTTTGCTTAATCGAAACAGCCCGGCCGGGCCCCGGTTGGGAAATGTGACCTCAGCATTTGGAAGGGTATTAGGCTACCTGGGTTTGTTTATTATTTGTTTATTTACCATTTGCATGTATATTAAAAACAATTACACAATCAAATAATCACGTGTAGCTTCCGTCTCAACGGCAATATATTTATCAAAAATGATACAACAGTTTCAAAGGGACTCTCTTGTTTATTGTTTATTGAAAAATCAAAGCCCTTCGCAGCCTTACAGCTGAATTCTGTGATGTTTACATAAAAGGCACGCAGTAGTACAATCACCAAGAACTTGTTACATTTAAAAATGCGCAAAGATAACTACATGTACCGCATCTTGTTCAAATGAAATAAAATCCGTACTGCAAATATCGATATTTTGATTACAGTGAAATTACTCTAAAGCACGTTGAATGCTTATTTTAGAACAATCGATATTTTAAACATCTCGTATATCATATTCTGTTTTCTGTTAGACAAATGTGCTGCTTCCAATAAAGTGGATGGCGATAGAGTCTCTGATTGAGGGTGTGTACAGCTGCAAGAGTGACATGTGGGGGTTCGGAGTCGTGCTGTGGGAGATAGCGACTTTGGGTGAGCAATATTAGGTTTAAAATATGATTGTGTTACTGATTGTTAAACTAGAGAACAATTTCATCTAACTCTTTTGCTCTATTTAACAATTAGAAAATCGCTAATATATATATTAAATGGACCCATATAAGGAGGAGGACCCATGATGCCTTGCGAGGCGACCTGCTGCGTTTTCTAGAGCTCCACTTTCTCTAGGAGTTTTAGTTTCCTTTCTAAGCCTTTTTCCTTAGTTTTTCAAGTTATTCCGTTTCGTAACCTCCCGGCAAAGATACCAGGATAAGGTTGAGAGTATAACTCTCCTTATTCCTGCTTTGCTGATCCTTGTTTCCTGATTACTACAACGACGACAACCGCCCCCCTCCCACCGACAGCCATGAGTTATGCGTCAGCAGTCGAGAATGGCAAGGCCATAGACACCGCGCCGACGGCCCCTAACGCACCGCCAGCATCCTCATGTAAACCAGTATTCTTTCTGGAGAAGGATGTTCATGCCGTTAGTCCTTCCGAGACTTTCTTCACGAACGTCGAGGTCTACAAAGCTGTTGCGCGCCGTGTTCAAGCGTCAAACATAGCCGGAATACAACAGGTTCGCGGCCTGTGGCGTCTCTACCTACGCGATCCAGAGGAACGTGCTTCTCTCATCGCGTCAGGGATCAGCCTCCGCGATAGGTATGTTGAAATCAGTGACAATCACCCTTTTCAACAGCGAAACGGAGTTAGAATCACAGTTCGAGATGTGCCCCTTTCCGTAGACGATGGAGTTCTAGCGTCTGGCCTGAAAAGCTACGGGGCTAAACTTCTCGGGCCTTTGAAACGTGAAATGCTTCGAGTCGACGGTATGCTGACCAACTGTGAAACCGGCGACCGATTCGCCTTCATGGCTATTCCGACAAACCCTACTGAGCACATTCCGAGATTTGTCGAGCTTGGAGGGCGATGGAGGGCAAGAGTGTTCTACCGAGACCAACCTAAGGACCAGACGCGACCGCGACATGTTCCTAATGACAGTACTCGCGTGGCTTCTACCCTTGCTCCACGTCCCCCTACCGACACCACTGCTGGGAATGAAGGATCCAGTAATGAACAGCAGAGTCGGGTCAGCACAGCTTTTGTTCAGCTTGCCCCCAGCTCACCTGAAGAGGAAGATCACAGAGACAGGCCTGAGCAATCTCAGGTTAACAGGGGAAAACAGAGCCAAATCACAGACTATGTTGCACCAGCAACTCGTACTAGGAACAGGGGAAGACCCCGGCCCCAGTCCCAGACAACGAACAAGACTACCGCACCAACCGTGGCAACGAGAAGTACCACAAAGAAGAACCAGTCCTCCACTACAACTAGCAGCATAAACACAGACGACCAAGCAGCGATCATGAGACAACGCATCGACGACCTCGTCGAGACAAGTCGTAATGCTGCCAGTGGAACTCACATCGATACTCCAGGCAACTTCCGCAGAGTCAGCCCCGAAGACGGAGGCCTGAACTGT